GTATCACCTTGTCTAATACCTTTATCAAGGCGCATTTTTTCAGTTTTTTCGTCTTCAGTGATTTTGATGTGGAATGTGGCCTGTTCATAAATGTTTTTAATGAGTGTAGTGTACCGTGAGTCTATTCGAGCATCCTTCAGGGCTGACAAAAAGGACCAAGTCTCAATACTATCGAAAGCCTTGTGAAAGTCGATAAATGCCATATGTAAAGGTACATTATATTCTGTGGTTTTTTCTACTAGTGTTCTGATAGTTTGTAAGTGATCATTAGCGCCAAACCCTTTTCTAAATCCCGCCTGTTCAACCGGTTGATATAAATCAAGTTTTTGTGTTATGCGGTTGGTTATTATTCTTGTTAACAATTTGTATAAGTGTGACAACAAACTTATAGGTCTGTAGTTTTCAATATTAGTAGTGTCTCCTTTCTTGTGTAAAAGTATTATTTCGGCGTTTTCCCATAGGCTGGGTATTCTTTTTTCTGTTAGACACTTATTCAGTAAGACTTCCACAACTTCTACAACGATGTTGCCGCCCATTTTTAACATTTCAGACGTTATACGATCCTCGCCGGGAGCTTTTTTGTTTTTCATTTGCTGTAAGGCATGTCTAATTTCCGAAGAGGTTATTTTAGGGAGGGTTTCCGAGCCGACGTTTAGAATTGTTCTGTGATCTGTTTCGGGGTTCTGTATAGTAGATGTATAAAGATTCTTATAGAACGTTTGTATTTCCTTGATTATTTGAGTTTTTTCGGTCACCGTATTCACCTGTTAATTTTTGATTTTAGTTATATTTGATTTTCCTTTAGTTAAATTTGATTTCAATACTCTCATGTTTCTATTGTTTTCGATGGTTTGCAATATTTATTTTGTTTTATAAGCCCGCAAGTCTGACCTTATGCTCTTTTTAACTTTATTGTTGATAGCTTTATACTCTGGTAATTCTTTCGATGTTCTTCTTCTTTCTTCCATTAAATTAAGTGTTGTTTGTTTCAGTTTCGTTTTTCTGGGATTTTTATTTTTATCACAGATCTTTTTTGCAGTTGATGTTATGTCGTTTGTTAATTTTTGTGTTATTTCATTTATATCTTTCGTGTTGAATACTGGTAGAGGTCCTAGTTTCTTTTTTAGTTCACTTTGATATTCCTCTTGATTCATTTCGAGTGCTTCTATGTTTGGCAATTTATCCTGTGTTAATAATTTTCTTCTATCTAATTTCGTATTTATTTCTATTCGCGTCCTAACTAATCGATGATCACTACCAGTGTTGAAAGAATTTAGTACAGTAAGATCTTTAGCAATGTTTTTGAAGTTAGAGAGTATAAAGTCAATTTCATTTTTTACTTTGCCATCTGGGCTTAACAACGTCCATTTTCTCTGCATCTTTTTCTTGTAGAAGGTATTTAAGCAGAATAGTTTTTCTTTGCTGAGGAAATTTACGAGCATATCTCCCCTGTGATTTCTACTTCCCAGTCCAAAATTTCCAATATATTCGTTGTCGTTGTTATTTTCGTTCTTTCCTATTTTAGCGTTGAAATCTCTCGTAATTATTACGTAATATGTTTTCTCTAGGTTTCTGGCTCTTGAATGTCTTCATAAAGTTGTTCTACCTCTTCATCAGAAAGAAGAAAATTAAGGCTTCTAAAATGGCTGTGGTCTCGCCTGTGAGGATGCAACAGTTTGTAGGTATGGATATAGTGTGAGTAGTGTATTTACAGTAATATGCAGCAGCATGTCCGTCATGAGGTTTAGAGGCATCACTGAAAATTTGGAGATAATTAGGATAATGAGATATTACTTCTGAGTACAAGTGTTTAATGAAAATCAGATTAGTAGTTGATTTGGGGTATTTTGTGAGGTTTAAGTGGTTGGATTGTCCATGGAGGAAAATTTACACTGACTTGTAGAGATCGACTTAGCTTATCCATGTCAAAGTTAGAAGATTTTATTCGTTCTATAAGGGGAGTACTATTTTTAGTTAGTTTTGTAGAACCAATACTGGGATGGCAAATTGGGGAGAATATTGGATGCTGTTTCTGTGCTGATATTTTTCCTATATAGTTTAGGGATAGTTGTTGGCGTCTAATATACAGAGGTGGTTCTCTCGCTAAAGCTTGTTAGCTACTAATAGGGCTAGTTCTGAAGGCACCCAGTGCTAATTTTAAAGCTGTAAATTGTAAACACAAAGTTATACAATTTAATTTAAAACAAAATGTATTATAGAAAATGTGTTGTAACTAACTTGTACCAATGTAAAGTATTAACCATGTAAACATGAATGTAAATTGTATCTGTGTCAATGACCATTAGCTGTCGATACACATATTTTCAAAATAAAAAAAATTAAAAATTAAAATTTTTAAGATTAACTTGTATATTACAACGTCAACAATTAAATTTAACCTTATATAATTTAAGATATTTAATAATATTTATCTTCAATGATATTACTACTCATCTTATATCATATAAACAATTAAATCAGAATTGAACCTAATTATTTCAAAACTATAATTCTTTTATTACAGTATCTTTTATTGTAGAATCTTTAGCAATTGTAGTTTGTTTTGATTTGTTGAACTGCGTCTTTAAAACTGGAATTGTTATACTACGTAAGTTAAAATATTTGAAATATAAAAAATTTAATTTAGTTTTTCGTTCTAAAAATTTGTAAACGGTACCGTTTTTTATTTATTTTTTCACTTAGCTGAAATCATTAAAAATAATCCGAACTAGTGTAAAAATAATATCAGTAATATAAATTTTTTAACAATCGCTTATTTTTCAAGTCTATATTACCACATTGACTAATAGAAGTAAAAACTATCACCATCCTCCTCATCATCATTCTGGCTTTATTATCCTGCATGGGTCATAGCATCCTCAAGAATGTCTCTTCAGTCGTCACTATTCATCGCCTTCCTTCGCCAAGCACATATTCCCATATTTCACATGTCTTCATCGATGTTATCAAGAAACCTTGTTCTGAGTCTTCCTGTTCTTCCTGACCAATGGGTCTATCTTCTTCTTAAGGTGCCGTGCATTTCTGCGTAGGCGTCCACCGTACATCGTCTTGTCAAGTGAGATGTTAAATATTCTGGACTAAATAATTCTGTTTTTAGTACCATTACGAAGCATTTCATAGCTGTGGATTCCTGTCCATTGTCGAATATTGCGCAGCCATGACATTTTTTTACGTCCGAGACCTCTCCTACCCTCTATCTTCCCTTCGAGTATCAGTTGCTGAAAAGTGTATCGCTCTCCTCGTATAATGTGCCCCAAGTATGCAGTCTTCTTACTTTTTACATAATTAAAAAGTTCCCTATCCTGTAAGCCCGCTCTTCTGAGTACTTCCTCATTTCTGACCCTGTTCGTCCATGATATTCTGAGCATTCGACGCAGGCACCACATTTCAAACACTTCAAGTTTGTTAATGGAACTGGCCTTTAACGTCCATGCTTCCATTCCGTACAGGAGAACAGGCCACACGTAACACTTAAGCATCTTGTATCGGAGGTTGAAGTCCAATTTGCGATCAGTCAGAAACTTACGAGGCCTCAAAAAAGCATTTCTGACTTGTTCAACTCTGCTCTTTATTTCATTCTCGGGGTCCCAACCGTCATTCAGCAAACATCCCAAGTATTTGAATTGCCTGACTTGTTCGATTTCTTCTCCAGAGACATATATCTTTGCGTTGGGGTAATCATTTCTACTTATAAACATTGATTATAATGATTATAAGTAGAAATGATTACTAATTACTGCTAAACAAAAAACAGTTTCTGTCTGTGAAAAATATGGACTAAAAATTAATATTAAAAAGAGCAAATACATGATAATAACAAAGAAACCAAATATACCAACAAACATACATTTGGGAAATGTACCGATAGAAAGGGTTAATAAATACAAATACCTAGGAACCTGGATTTCAAACAATAATGATCAAACAAACGAAATAAAAGCTAGGATAAAAATAGCAAAAAATGCGTTTGTAAAAATTAAAACAATTCTCTGCAACAAATATCTTAGATTAGAACTGAAAGTAAGAGCAGTGAGATGCTACGGGTTTTCGATACTGCAATATGGACTTGAAAGCTGGACATTGAAGAAAGAACACATAAATAAGTTACAGTCCTTTAAAATGTGATGTTACAGGAGGATGCTTAGAATAGCATGAACACAGAAGAAAACTAACACGGAAGTATTGCGAGAAATGGGCAAAGAATGCGAAATAATAAACACAATAAAAAAAAGTTACAATATCTGGGACACGTAATGAGGGGACAGCGATATGAACTGCTAAGGTTGATAATACACGGAAAGATAAGAGGAGGAAGGAGTAAAGGAAGAAGGAGAGTGTCATGGTTGAAGAATTTAAGGGACTGGTTTAAATGCAGTTCTATAGAACTCTTCAGAGCAGCAGTAGATAAAGTAAAGATAGTGATGATGATATCCAACCTCGGATTGGTAGACGGCACTTAAAGAAGAAGAAGGGTATTTAAATGTTCTTATACATTTGGTTTTGTTTGCTGATATGATCATATTGTATTTGTTGGCTGTTATGTGGATGATATGTGTTAATCTTTGAAGCTCATCTTCTGTGTCGGCGATTAATACGGCGTCGTCTGTATAACATAATAATAGGATCTCTTTGTTCCCCATTGTGTAACCATGACCTTTACGTATTGCTTGTATTATTTCGTCCATTATTATATTCTCTCTTTATTCTTAAACTTCTTGTCCGACTTTTTTGAAGTATTTCAGTAGAGTATTCTTACTGATACTCTATTTGATAATATTTAACCTAACTTAACCTAACTTAACTTATTGATAAAGAAGTAGAAGAATAATATCATGCTTATTAAAAATAAACCAAGACCTCAAATATCTACCATTTAACAATACTTACTACTACAAAGGTTTTTTTTATTTTAATCACACAAGAATCAATACTTACTACTACAAAGGTTTTTTGTATTTTAATTTTAGGTTATTTTTATTATGTTGGGTCTGATATTGATCTTTGTGATAATATTATGGTTTATATTATGGTTACTGCAGGTTTACTGGAAATATGGAATGAGTAAATATCTTAAGCAATTATCCGGACCAAAACCTGTCTTCCTATTGGGCAATCTGGATGCAGTTTTGTTTTTGCCCAGAGAAAGTAAGTAAATATTTTAAGCAGTGACAAAGATGGTCGCAAACGTTACGTTGCTATATCTATTTGTATTGCCAATATCGTAAAATGACCGATTTAGTAAATATTATTATTTAAAATTGTATTTACACTCTAAAAAGTAGTATTTATCAGACTTTATCAGTTACAGCTGTTAATGTGTTTATGCACAAACACTATAGCAATCTTGCGAAAAAAAATTAAACTAGAGTAGGTCGTTACATTTAATTGTTTTGGATTGGTAGAAATGTATTTATTAAAGTTATCAAAGAATACTACACTAGGCAACGGGATGCCAAAGTAACAAATAAGAAAGAGATACTGGCTATTTTTGTCTTGCTTATTTATTCGATCTAAAAAACGAAGTCACATAGATTTTAAAGAAGTCTAGGCAATTAACTGGACTCGTTCAACACTATTTTCTACTTCTATAGGATATAAACGATTTCTGTTTTGCTATATGCTTAAAGATTTAACAATATATAAGATCGTCGGCAAAGAAAACAATTTAAAGATTTAGATATTTTGTATCAACGCTATATCTTGGTCCCATACCTTCTTTATAAAGAAATAGGATTATTTGAAACTAAAAAAAATATATTAATAAAAATTCGATGTGATGTGGAGTTTAATTTTAGATTTCTCATGTCGGTCACTCATCTTTCTTCTTGCTTTCTAAATCGTAGAAGGCACAGATTTTATTAAGAATTTAAATTTTAACTGTCTTTTCTATAAAAAAATTTTAAATGCAGAATTTTGAAACAATATAGGTAGGCAGTAGAACATACAGTTTACGAGAAAAATAATGAAGTAAAACAAAAGTATCAAAATAGTATACACTTCTTCTTTAAGTTCCATCTTCTATCGAAGGTTTGAAAGCATCATCGCTATGCAAACCCTATTAACTGCTGCTCTAAGTAGTTCTGCATTCTTCTTCTTGATAAGACTATTCGTTACGAATATTGGCGATCATCACGGCAATCTTTATCTACAGCAGCGCGAAAAAGCTACACAAATGTTGTATTGAACCAGATTCTGAGGTTCTTTAACCAAGATCTTCTTCTTTCTGGACCTCGCTTTCCAAATATTTTTCCTTACAGGATGGCCTGAAGGAGAGCACATCTGGAGATTTTGCATAATATTCCGAAGAATTGTAACTTTCGAAATTTGATGGTGGTCAGTACCTCTCGGTTCTTATTAATTCTTCTGAGGATCTCCTCATTTGTGACTCTGTCAGTCCACGAATCTTAAGTATTCCTTGAGATAGCCACATCTCAAATGCTTCCAGTTTTTTGCACATATCTTTGTTCAAGGTCCACGATTTAACACCATAAAAAAGGACAGAGAAGACGTAATATCGAAGAATTCTTACTTTTGTATCAAGATAAAGGTTGTGACTTTCGAAGAAGGCCCCTCATCCGATTGAAGGTGGATCCAGCTTTTTCGTTGTATGCTTTAATCTCCTGATTGTTGGTCCATTCTTTATGCATTATGGTGCCGAGGTAGTTGTAGTGCGTCACTTCATCTACTGGGGATTGATTGACGTAGAGTTAACCTTCTGTTAATCTTTTCTTGCTAATTATCATTACCTTTGTCTTTTTAACGTTTATATTGAGTCTTATTTATTATATTAGTTTATATGAGTTTAAATAGCATGGAGCATAGGGTGCGCTACATATTTACACTGGAGACACCCCAACTCCATGGCCTGACCCATTTCTGCAATATCATTTAATTCAGTTCTGCATTACTGCATTCAAACCATTTCCTCAAGTTCTTAATAGACAATATTCTTCGTCTTCCTATATTTTTAATCATTTCCTCAAGTTCTTACTTGACGATATTCTTCGTCTTCCCACATTTCGCTTTCCTTGAATTTTGCCTTAAATAAACTGCAATAATGAGTATCTTTGATCTCTCATAAAATTGTCTTCTCGACCTTCCTTTTTCCTTCTCCCTTGTGGTGTCCACGTCAAAATCTGTTTTGGAATCATGTCATCTGGCATTCTCTGTACATGGCCGTTATATAATAACTGTTTTGTTTTTATGTCATCAACTATTGTATGCTTGACTCCGATCATTTCTCGTATTCTCTGATTTGGTATTCGATCTCTTCTTGATGCTCTTCTCCAGAAGTCCATTTCTGTTGCTAGTAATTTTTTCTGGTCTTTGTTTCATTGGCCAAACTTCACAGCCATATTTAATTAAACTTTTAAGTATGGTGTTGTAAATGAGTTGTTTGTTCGCTTTAGATATTGTTTGGTCTCACAGAATGCCGTTTATTATGGATATGGCTTTTTTACCCTGGATGTTTCTATCTTTTATAGCAGCATCGAGTGTTCCATCTTGGGTTTTCTTCATACCCAGCTACTTGTATTCATCACAGTGTCTAATTTCTACCCCATCGTCTAATATAATGGACTTCTTTATCCCTCCAATACACATGGCTTCAGTTTTCGTAATGTTGACTTCGAGAGTCATGTAACTTAAGTGGTCGTGATCCTGAGCAACCAGTATTTGGTCTTCAGCGAAACATAAGGCGTACCGTGCAGTCTCGTCATTGAGAGGGATTCCCATGCCATTACATTTTCTTTTCCACAGCTTGAGTACTTGTTCCAGATAAATTTTGAAAAGGGTAGGCGAATTACAGCAACCCTGCTTTAGTACTTTCGTGACCTTCAATCCCTCAGATATCCTTGATCCGTTTTAATTTTTGCAGTCGTTTCTTTATACAGACTTTGGACTGCTTTGATAAGACCATGCTTAATGTTGGTTTGCTGTAGGATTGACCATAGTTTACTGAGGGGTAAACTGTTATATGCTTTTTGTAAGTCTACGTACACCAGGTGAACTTCTTTATTGATGGCTGTTTTTTTCTCAATAACTTGCGTAATAGATTACAAGTGGCCTACTGTGGATCACCCAGCTCTAAAACCAGCTTACTCCTCTGCTTCGTAATCTCTATAGTCATTTTTCATTTTGTTCTTAATAAGTTTCCCATACATCCTACTTATTGTACTTAATGTTTGGTATTTTCGACGTTTATCTCTAAGTTCGTTATCTATTTCTTCATCACACACCAGTATGGTTTTATAGACGGTAGACGGAGTTCGATAGACGGTTCCTGCGGCTGTCGATTTAGGTGAGAAAATAGTTGCGGCTATTTTCTCAGGGACGGACAGGTATCATTTAGTTGTGAGACTGGGAAACCGCAAAAAACCAATCTCTCCCTGTCCGGGGTAGGGAATGGGATGATTGGATGATTGAGGATGATTGAGGGTGGATGATTGTTTAGGCGATGCATTAGGCATACGGAGTGGCCTCTAGAATTTCAAAGTAATCTGCCGGAAGATCGTTGATGCGTGTTTGCATTAGAATTGAGGGAGGATGAGGGTGTTTGAATTTGGGTATCCGGGTTACTGTATGTCCTCTGAAAGAACAGGAACTTTTTAGGGTGTCTTGAGTGTTGGAAGGAGGACCGTTGATGGTTCTGAGGGTAAAGTTCCTGTTAAGAGTTTTTAATCTCTCAAGGATAGGGGTGGTGTTGGCAGTTCTATGGATATCAAGGGAGGGAAAGTGCCACCGTTTTCTGCAGGTTCTACGCAGGAGCCTGCGCTCCGTCGAGAGCAACTTCCTTTTCTGTCGTTCCTTTAGAAGGCAGTATAATTGAGCCTTATACTCTATAACGGGTCGAATAAAGGTTTTATAAGTACGTGTAAGAGTGGTGTTGCTTGTCTTGCCAAACGTCCCTGCAAGTGGTACTAGGAGACGAGCTCTATTTCTGACCCTATCTAAAGTTTCTTTTAGATCAGCGTCCCAATTAAGCGTCTTAGTGAATAAGACGCCTAGGTAGGAAGCTGTCGGGCTAGTTACGAGCCTGTTTCCCATTAGGTACAGGGGCGTTTGTTGGACATTGTCGGCTGCAAGACGTCCAGATGTTTTGGGCGCGCGAAACACAATGGTTTGTGTTTTCGCAGCGTTAAGGGTGACTCTCCACTTACTGCACCAATTTTCGACACCGTTTAATAAAGTTTGTGCTCTTCTACAGGTAGCCAGAGGAAGGTAGTCTCTCCCTGTTGTTAGGAGAGTAGTATCATCCGCGTAGAGGAACAGATGAGTGTGTGGAAGATTTGGGGTAGGTAGAGAACTGTTGTATGTGACTTTATTGACAGCAGCTCTAAATAACGATATAGTCGGTTTTCTATACCAGTGTCTTTTTCAGCCATGATGTTTTTCTTCTAGCAGGATCACGTTTACCTTGGATCTTTCACTGAATGATTACATGTAAATGGGCATATTTTTTAGGGTGTCTCATAATGTAAGAGAATTATTCCAGATGGCGTCTTTTTATTATATTGACCAGTTGCGTAGCTTGATTCAGGTGTCTAAGGACCTTCTTACTTCTAACTCTGTCGATCTAGCTTATTCGGATATTAACCTGAGAAACAATAATTTTGATAGCTATATAACTACATCATATTTTCTAGAACTGGATAAATTAATGGTGCTATAGTTTTACTTTAAGTTTTACAACTTACTCCAATAGAATATTTTCAATAACTTGTTTTCATGACAAATCCTTATTATAATCACAGTTTAAATTAGCACTTACATATCATTTTTATTATATTTAAACTTTTTATGTAGAATATTTTTCGAAGCTACAAGAATTTATAAACCAATATGGACCGATGTTTAGAGTACAGGTGGGGCCTAAGCTAGTTGCCGTTATTTGTACCGATGTTAAATTTGCAGAGTTTATTCTAACTTCTTCCAAAACAACAGAAAAATCTCTGGTATACGGATTTCTTCATGGATGGTTGGGAACTGGTCTCGTCACTAGTACAGGTAATATCAATTTTTATGACAATTTACATAACAAACTGCTTAAATATTTAATTTATTGTTGCTCACAATTTTCACAAGATATTCAACAAATTTATTTCCATCTCCATCATTTTAATCCACCCCAATATCAAGTTCATCATAGAACTAGAATCATCCTTGTCAATCACTTTTCTTGATCTCACCATTACCCGATTAAATTACCACTTCGACTTCAGTATCTATAAGAAACCCACGCAGACCGACCATGTAATACCCTTTTCATCTAAGCACCCTATGTCCTACAAATACGCAGCTTTTTACAGTTTCACATCACTATACAGGAAAAGAAAGAAAGTATTTTTCAGCTAATATGAGTTTAAAAATTATGTACGACATGTTCATTATAAAAGAACATAGTTTCCTTATTTCAACATTAGGAACTGAGAAAAGACTCTCCTACAAGTTTTTTGGACATCTTTCAAGGAAAACTACGATTTTATTGGCTTTTCATAAAATTTTTTCATCAATTTCATAAAAAGAAGGATAACCAGAGGCTGATAACTAAAACATTGAGTAACGATTAAAACCTTTATTTTGGAAAACAATTTCATTTAGGCATTCAGTGACAGAAAGGTACCAAATTTTGTTAGTATAATTTAATTATTGTAATAAGAACTTCAGTTTAAAGAAATGTTGTTTTAAATTTATATTTAAATATTCTATGTATTAGACATATAGGTTTGTTTCCTGATAATTGTAATAAAGATAATTTTAAAAGAACATACTTACAAACTAATTCTTTAAGAACCGCGACAAAAACCCTATCTATGTTATTTAAACATACTCATTGCTCATAATTCAATCAAACAAAATATCATAGCAATATATATATATATATATATATATATATATATATATATATATATATATATAAACTGTTCTAGGAACAAAATGGAAACAGCGTAGGCGCATGATTACTCCAACTTTTCATTTCTCTATTCTGGAAAGTTACGTTGACATATTTGATAGAGTTGGAGATATTTTTATTGAAAAATTAATACAACAAGTAAATACGGCATCATTAGATGTGTTTTCTTTAGTTACTTTGTGTACTTTAGACATTATTTGTGGTAAGTATAATTTTACTTTATTCTAAGCGAAAGATACATCATTGTTTATGATTTAGATTAACTTCCATTTTATGCAATTTTCTGATACAGTTTTTTTAATAGTTAAAATTTGGAATAACCAGGTTTTAAAACTCGTTTTTTTTTAAATGGTGACGCGATCAGAAGACAAGTCCTTTACGATGTGGAGGTATAGAACGATTTGGAATTTTTTTGGGTAGATTATATTACGAACATTGAAGGCTTTTGAATAGTTAAATAAAAGAAAGAAAATTGCAATATCCCTGACACACAATGCGTAGATAAAAGTACACCATCTTTCATATTATAAGATAAATATCGTGGCTAAAAAAGCTAAGAAAATATTATGTTTGCTGTTTAAAACAACTCTTTAGAGTAGCTGCTTTCGGAAGGAACTACTGATGACCTTCGTAACAGACATATCTTCTGCAAAAAACAGTAGAATTTTAATTTCTATTTTGTTTTTATTTATTAGTTAAGCTTTATAGTTTTACATTTGTGATCCTCTTTGGCCAGAGATACTGAATATAAAGAGTAAACAGTTGATTTTAAACGAATATAATCTGAGAAATAATTTCTTGTAACGTTTCTTGTTTTTTCTCCTTCCAGTAAAATTGATTTCACGTTGGTTTAAAAGATATGTAGTTTTGTACTTTTACTGATAAACCTTTTTTGTCCTTTTACAGACCTGTTCTCTAGTGAGCACAATTCTTTTATCTTGTCGAATTCGTTTGTAGTAATTTCGTGATAATTATATATTGATTCATTCTGTACGTGTTAATGATAACACACGACCGTGTGTCTTGAATGTTCTAATACTCGTTTGCTGTCCATAGTATTCCGACTAAAGCATCACAAACGAATATATACTCCCTTGGTCTATTTATAATTAAAAAAATTCTTGCAGTAAGCTTATTCAGCCCACAACAACTTCAAAAGACAACAATTAATAGAAAAATTGACACTAATAAAGAAAAAATCAACTGGTTGAAAACAATACAAGTTCGTTAATTCTGTTACATGTGCATACCCGTTAAAAAAAAACGTTCGTTAACAAGAGCCCTCAGTGTTTGTCTATCACGGATAGTGGTATTAGATCGAAAAACGAAAGTGTATGGATTAAATTTAGTTGACGCTAGTAAAGAAAATCTTCGAATTAAGTGTGTGGAATAGTACAAAAATGTCCAAAGTCCAGAAACGTGGCTGTGTGAACCCCGTGGATAGGTTTTGCTACGTATGCGGTCAGTTTACTCCTAAATCGCAGAAAAGGGCAAATAATAAGATGACAACAATAGTTTACCATAAGTATTTCGGATGTGTTATTGGCGAGGAGGATCGGGATTGGGCTCCTTACATATGCTGCCAAACCTGTGCAGCAAATCTAAGTAATTGTTTAAATGGTAAACGCTTTTCTACGCCGTTTGCAGTTCCGATAATTTGGCGCGAACTAACAAATCATTTTAACGACTGTTACTTCTACATGGCAAAAGTGTCTGGGCTTTCAAGGAAGAACAAGCATAAACTTGAATATTTAGATATTCCCTCAGCAATAAAACTGGTTTTTCATGCAGAAGATTTACCAGTTCCAGGACCACGGCAAATTGGGAGGAATATTGGGAAATGTATGACGATAAAAGTAATCCCGATGATGTATCAAAAACGGACGATTCTTATTTTCCCGAAAGCAATGATATAATACCACATTTTATCCAACAAACTGAATTAAATGATTTATTTCGAGACCTTCACTTGTCCAAAGAACATGCTGAACTTTTAAACTCTCGATTACAACAATGGAATTTACTAGCCAGTGGAACCAAAGTTACAAATACAAAGTTAATCCAAATAGTGTTATCGAAAAATTAGAATTTGCACATAATCCAGAAGAATAAAAGGAACACACGAAAGTATGTCGATGATCCTAAATGCAATAAGCTATGATACAAGTGGCAAATATGTGGTGACTTAAAAGTCATCAGATTATTATTAGGTCTTCAGGGAGAATTTACAAAATTTTGCTCTTTTCTTTGTCTTTGAAACAGTAGAGCAACACAGAGTCATTACCAAGTTAAAGAATGGTCACCAAGAGATGAGTACATTCCAGGTCAAGCCAACGTAAGGAATATACCTCTCGTTGATCCCAAAAACGTTCTGTTGCCTCCGTTACATATTAACCCTTTAACGGTCACACAAAATTTGTTAACATCTCCGTAAACGCTTTCTGGCTAAATATGTAACCACATACTTTACAGATGACAATGTCTGTATTCCTTATGTTAAATGAATTTTATCGCGGCAATCGGGTGCAATTATTTGAAAATTAAAATTTTTAGTGATAGAATCATATCACAAAATATTTGTTTTTCAGCTGTTTTAACTTCTTCTTCTTTAAGTGCCGTCTCCTTTAAGAAGGTTGGCTATCATCACGGCTATCTTCACCTTTGACACTGCTGCTCTAAACAGCTCAACAGAGTTACAATTGTACCACTGCCTCAAATTGTTTAGCCAGGATACACGTCGTCGGCCTATGCTTCTTCTGCCCAGTATCTTTCCCTGTATAATGATCTGTAGCAACTCATATCTCTCACCTCTCATGACATGACCCAGATACTGCAATTTTCTTATTTTAATTGTATTTAATATCTCCTTTTCCTTGTTCATTCTTTTTAAAACGTCGTTGTTCGTAACCTTATCGATCCAACTTATTTTTAAAATTCTTCTATAAGCCCACATCTCAAACGCTTCTATTCTGTTACTTATATCTTTTTTAAGCGTCCAAGCCTCCATTCCATATAATAACACAGAAAATACATAACATCTAAGCATTCGTACTTTAAGTTGCAGACTCAGATCATTGCTGCAAAGTACTTTTCTCATAGTATTGAATGTTGATCGGGCTTTTCCTATACGTGATTTGATTTCCTGTGTGTAATCGTTGTTTTCGGTTATGATTGTTCCCAAGTATGTATATCTGTTCACCTTTTGAACGAGTTCGTCCCTAATCCATAACGTGTCCTGTTGTTGTGTCTTTGCGATGGTCATGAATTTCGTCTTTTTGATATTTAAAGTAAGTCCAGCCTCTTCGCTACTGTCTACAATCTTATTTATCAGAACCTGCAATTCTTCAACTGACTCTGCGATTACTAAAGTATCATCGGCGTATCTGATGTTATTTATAAGTTCTCCGTTGACTTTAATTCCACTTGATGTTTCCTTTAGTGCCTTCTGAACTACCTCTTCTGAATAGAGGTTAAAAAGCAGCGGAGACAATATGCATCCCTGCCTTACCCCTCGTTGTATTTCTATTTCTTCTGATAGTTCGTTGCCAACCTTTACAGATGCAACTTGATTAAAGTAAAGGTTTGATATTATTCTAATATCTTTCATATCCAGATTTTTATCTTGAAGTAGCTGTAGGAGGCGATTATGTCTGACTTTGTCAAATGCCTTATTGTAATCAAGGAAACAGACATAAAGAGGTTGGTTAACATCCATACATCTTTGGGCCAATACATTCAGGGCAAACAAGGCCTCTCTTGTACCCATTGCGTTTCTGAAGCCAAACTGCGTGTTACTAATATCTTGCTCCAGTTTTCTGAAAATTCTTTGATGTATAATTTTCAAGAATATCGTTAGAGTGTGGCTCATTAAGCTGATGGTTCGATGGTCACAGCATTCTCTAGCGTTAGCTTTTTTCGGTAGAGTCACGAACGTCGACTTAAGCCATTCTTTTGGAATGACGCCTGTATCATATATGGTGTTGTACAAGTCTTTTAGTATATCTATTTGATCTTCTGCGATTAATTTTATAATTTCCGCTGGTATCTCATCAGGACCTGTAGCTTTATTATCTTTTGCCAATTTTACTGCATGCATGACTTCTTCTTTTGTTATACTGGGCCCCGTTTCTCTACTGTTGTATAGTTCTATGTTTTCTGGTTGTCTCTCATCTTTAAATAATTCCTGTATGTATTGTTTCCATCTTTCTATTTTCTTGTTGTTATCAAGGATAATTTTACCTTTTTCATCTAATAGAACACTACTGTGGTTTGTTTTTCTGATGCCGGCCAGTTCTTTTACCTTCCTATGTAGATTAAAGTCATCATGCCTTTCCAATAGTACTTCTATTTCCTCACACTTGTTTGAGTACCATTTTTCCTTGGCTTCTCTTATTTTCTTTCTAATTACACCATATATGTCTTTATATTTTTCGATGTCTACGTTCTTGTACAATCTTCTCTTTTCCATCAATTGCAGTATCTCATCATTAATCCATGACTTTGTTGTGTTATTATTTTTCTTTCCTTTTAGAATCTCCTTCGTTGGATTCAGCATTATGTTTTTAAATGTTTCCCATTTTCTGTTCGAATCTTCGTCTGGATCGATTATATTTATCTTTATTTCCTCGTTAATTTTTTTGGATAGCTGATCTCTTACAAATGAATTTTTCAAAAATAAACGTTGTATTTGATTCTTATTGCAACGTGCAGTTAGTTTTTTAAATCGGAGATCGAATGATACAACAACGGGATTGTGGTCTGTGGCTGCATCAGCCCCAGGGTATGTTTTTGCTGATTTAATGGAGTTCCGAAACCTTTTTCTTATTAAAACATAGTCTATCTGGTTTCTAATAACTTTCCTATCATTATCCGCAGGCGATCTCCAGGTGTAGAGTCGACGATTAGGTAACTTAAAATAAGTGTTTGTAACTACCAGACTGTTCTCTTGACAGAACTCCACCAATCTTTCCCCCCTCTCATTTCTTAAACCAAGTCCATATTTCCCTACAATATCTTCTACTTCTCCTTTTCCTACTTTTGAGTTAAAATCGCCCATAACAATCGTGATATCTCTATGCTTTGTATTATCCAGGGCTTGTTGTATATCTTTATAGAATTGTTCTATTTCATCGTCTGTCTTGTCGGAAGTTGGAGCATATACTTGGATTATATTTAACTTTCGTTGGATCATTGTTAAAGAAACCATAACTACTCTATCTGAGATAGGACTGAAAGAAGTGACTGATTGACATAAGTTCTTATCAACAATGATTGCTACTCCATTTCGATGGTTTGGATCATTATTTCCCGAATAGTATATTTTGGAATTTAAAATCTGTTGTTCACCCGAGTCTGGCCATCTGGTTTCACTTAGTCCCAATATTTTGACAGACATGCGTTGCATTTCTTGTATGACGTTGTGTATCTTTCCGGCTTCATAAATTGTTTTAATATTCCAGGTAGCGATCTTTGCACCTTTATTCTTTTTGTAGGGTTTTCGTAGATTAACGACCGGGGGAGCCCTACAGTCTTTTGGTTGTCTACCCCTGCCGGATCTTGACGACCGAAAATCATGATCAGTAACTTGTTGTAACCATCTTGTACTAGCCATAATGATTAACTAGGGATATCCATTAAGGATCTTTAATGTAGTGGTTTCCCCTTGCCTTCTACATCCTTACGCCGTTGACCTATTTTTTCGGTTCGTCCGCCTTTAGGGTCAGTTTCCCAACCCCAGGACAAAAGGGTGCCCTACCACTTACCAACTCATCCGCCCGAAGCCGTTGGTCAGTAAGTGGGGGATTGCTTATACCGGCAAACGTTCGGTAGAATTTTCGCCATATCTGGCTACCCTCACTTAGTTTAGCCTGCAGACCAATGCAGTTGCCCGGGGTGTGGCACGTGGAGCCATAAGCTGTTTTAACAATGAAACCTAAATACACATATGACGAATTGCAAAAATTGGATGATGATGATGTGAATGAACTTTTTGGAGAAATTCTCGACGATCAGGCAGTTTATTCAGATATAGGAGGGGATAGTGATGCTGAAGATGATAGAACCATTTCAACAAGTACAAGTACACCACTTAGCTCCCGTAGTTTCTGTGGTTCTAGAACTAGTAGAGGTAAAGAAACTACAAGCGTAGCTCCAAATATTAGTAATTATGACTATGACAGTATAGCTGATCCAAATATTCTATCCGAAAATATAACAGAAAAACGATATGTACACGCCAAGTTTGAAAATTATGATATATGTAGTTCTTCTTCAGAGGAAAGTGACGATTTTGGTTTCACCAAAAATAGCCAAAACCCTATGCTAATATCTACACTTCATTTTGACAGACCTTTTGGAACTAGAGTTGAGGTAGACGTATCTTCACCCATGAAAATATTTTTAAATTTCTTAGGTCCAATGTTTGCAGTAATTGTACAGCAGTCAAATATATACGCTGCACAGAATGGTGTTCAACTTTGTTTGCATGAAGAAGAATTAAAAGCATTTCTCGGAATTCTGATATTAATGGGAATTCATATTTTACCATCAATTGGTTTATACTGGTCAACAGATGAAAATTTTTTTGTTTCGAGGATTGCAAATGTGATGACTCTCAAAAGATTTTTACAAATTTTAAGATATTTGCATCTTAATGATAACACCAAAATGCCAAAAATGGGCGAGGAACATTTTGATAAATTATATAAGGTTAGACCTCTGATAGATGCGTTAAACAGACGTTACCATGATGCCTTTTTCCCCAGTCAAAATTTGTCAATAGATGAAAGCATGATTGGTTTCAAGGGCAGAAGCTGTTTGAAACAGTACATGCCTTTGAAACCAATCAAACGAGGTTTCAAAGTTTGGGCCATTAACTGTGCTGCTACCGGCTTTTTGTTGGGATTTGAGATCTATCAGGGAAAAAGTAACAAAAGTAGTGAAGTAACTTTGGGAGAAAGCGTTGTCTTAAGCCTTTCTCGGGGGTTTCAGGGGTTTGGGTATTGTTTATTCTTTGATAGATTTTTTACCACTCTTCCATTGCTAAAGAGATTGTTATCAGTGCAACTTTTTGGTTGTGGTACCATGCAGTCAAATAGAAAATATTTTCCAAAAGATGTTTTAGTTGAGGACAAAAGAATGAAACTAGGTGAGCATGATTCTGTTATGTCGGGAGATATATCTGTTTCAAAATGGAAGGATAGAGGTAAGAAAGCGGTGATTGTGGCATCAAATATGCACAATAGTAGTGATACTGCATATGTTAAACGCACAAATAAAATGGGAGAAAAGGACAATATTATATGTCCTAAAAGTATATCTGATTATAATAAATTTATGGGTGGTGTCGATTTATTTGACCAACTTGTCGGCACTTACTCAATCTCGTGGAAGTCACGTAGATGGTGGCTCAAGATTTTTTACTATCTTATAGATAGTACTATAGTAAATTCATACATTTTATATAAAACAACAGTAAACATGTCACAAAGTTCAGATAAACCACTAACTCATCTCTTGTTTCGCAGTCAGTTAGCTAACCAATTAATTGGTGGTTTTAATTCTAAAAAAAGAAGAGGACGCACACCACATAATAATATAGTAATAACGAAGGCAACTAAAGTGAGTGGGAGAGTGGTAAAAGGCGGATTAAATATATCAGATGTTGGTATTCACCTTCCTATCAAAGGATCATGCAGGAGATGCGCCTACTGCAGCACAAAAAATAAAGTTAAGCGTTCAAGAATTGAATGCAATTCTTGCAAAGTTTCTCTTTGTTTGGAGTGTTTTAGCCCTTTCCATTTACCAAAATAATCTTATTTTTAATAATAAATTTCCTAAGAATATTAAAAATTTTCGTTTTTTAACAGAAGTTTGTCTGTGTTTAACAGTGTTTTAGTTAATTTGATTCTTTCTTGGTGTTGTTTGTTTGTTTTTATTAATAAATGTCTTAAAAAGTATCAAAAATTGTGTTTTTTAGCAACCAAAAAATTGTGTACACATATTTGACCACCTAACCATTGGATTCTAATATGCCCTTAAACGGTTAGTGGGCACATATTTAACCACCAATAATAAGCTTTTTACAACACTATAATGCACATATAAAGTTAATTAAAACGTAATTATTTGAATACAAAGTGATTTACATAGTTAGGTCCATTAATTTTCATAAAATAAATTGGACCATTCAGGTACTTTTCTGGTGGCTACATATTTAGCCATAAAGCGTTAAAGGGTTTTGGTTAAACTGGGATTGATTAAAAATTTCGTTAAAGCATTAGATAAAGAAGGAGATGCGTTTAAATACCTCAAACAAATTTTTCCTTAGCTAAGTAAAGTGAAGCTTAAAGAAGGGATATTTATTGAAGCACAAATCAGAAAGTACTGAGGAATCAACAGTTTGATGAAAAATTAAGTGATGTTGCAAAATTGGCTGTCGCATGTTTCTAAAAATACACTTTCTGCACTCTCATTTAAATTTTTTCCCGGAAAATTTGGGTGCGGTCAGCGATGAGCAAGGAGAAAGGTTTCACCAGAATATTCTCACAATGGAGAAACGCTACAAGGAAACATGAGATGATGAGAGATTACTATTGGTTCCTCATGAGAAAAAGTGATACAGAATATAAAATCAAAGCTTGCAAAGAATTTGTGTAAAAAAGACTTACCATAGTTCTTGTTTCTAGTTCTGGACTTATTCATATATAGTATATAAGAATTTTTATAATAAATAACATTATTTGATGCATTCTATAACTCAGAATATATAAGTGGTGAGAAATTTTCAACATCAGTCACAACTTTTTTTTTTATTTGTTGACTAGTGTTAGTTAAAAACTGCATTTTCTTATATACTTTTTACTTACTTATAAAAAATTTATATTTTAGAGGCGGCGATGGGTATTCAAATAAATGCACAAGAATCTCAAACATCAAAATATGTAAAGTCTGTAAACACAATGTGTGACATATTTATTGGTAGAGCGACCTCTCCTATGCCAAATTTTTTGTACCGTTTCACGCCAAATTACTATAGAGAACAGAAAGCGATCAGGGTATTACATGACCAGACAGACAAAATCATTGATACTAAGATCAGAGAAAAATGTAACAATGGAAACATACATTCTAACCAGCAGGATAAGAGTACTAGAAAGAGGCTTGCATTTTTAGATTTACTGTTAGAGAGTACTATAGATGGTAAACCATTATCTAGACTGGCCATTCGAGAAGAAGTGGACACGTTTATGTTTGCGGTTATTATTTTTATTTTATATTAATTATAGGCATTTACAAAAAGTTAAATTCACACGTTTCTAACTAAAACCTACTTACTAACATACAGGTTGATCAATTTTTAATGTGGGATCCATCTCTGTATTATCAGAGAAGACTAGTACAGTAGTAAATTCAAATTCTTTATAAACGGTGTATTTCAATGTTGTTCTGAAGCTATTTTCTTGTGGCATTGTAAATTAATTACTATTTAACTAGGAATAAGCCACAATTAAAGATAAAAATGTCCCACAAATAATCATGGTATGTTTTATTATGCCGGAAGTGACACCAAAACCCATCGATACGGAGTAGGAGTCATCATCTCAAAAAAATGGAAAGATGCTGTAGTAAACTTTACTCCATTCTCAGAGCGCGTGATGTTAATACAATTAAAAGATACGAAGAACATGATAAACATTATACAAGTGTACGCTTCTACAGCAGACAAAGACGAAGAGGAAATAGAACAATTCTATAATATCTTAGAAGAGGTGATGAGAACAACAAAGAGACAACACATTAACATAGTAACGGGCGATCTGAACGCCAAGGTAGGTCAGGGTAAAGTTGGAGAAAATGTCGATGAATATGGCTTAAGTAATAGAAATGAGAGGGGTGATCGTTTAGTTCAGTTTTGTCAAAGCGAAGATTTCATAATAACTAATACATTCTTTAAACTACCCCCAAGGCGACTATATACGTGGGCGTCACCTCAACATACACAAGAAAAAGTGGTCAGAAACCAAATAGATTACATATTGGTGACAAAAAGATACCGTAATGCCGTAAAATCTACTAAAACTTTCCCTGGAGCTGATATCGGTTCGGATCATAATCCAGTAGTATCTGTGATAGAAGCTAGACCAAAGAAAATAAAAAAAGCCATCATTCCAGCATTAGACTTAAGCCAGCTTAAAAATGAACATCTACGACAAACAGTGCGAGAAGAAATAAACACCAGCCTCAGTGTAGCAGAAAGCCAAATCCGCAGAACAGACAACATAGATGAAAAACTTAAGTATATAAATACTATAATAAGAACTACGGGAAAGAAACACCTAACCAAACCTGCAAAGAAACATAAGGTGTGGATGACACCAGACATTCTAGAACTAATGGATAAAAGACGTAAAATGAAGAATAATGCAGAAAAATACAAATAGGTTGATAAGAACATAAAGCAAAGAATAAGAAATGCCAAAGAATCATGGATTACAGAACAATGTGTAGAAATGGAAAACTATGAAAGAAAGTATGACACGTTCAATATACATAAAAAAGTAAGAGAAATTACAGGAACCCAAAGAAGACGTCAAATAAGTGTGCTTAAGAACAAAGATGGAAAGATTATTATAGATTTAACAGAGAAAATTAATAGATGGAGTGAATACATAAGAGAATTATTTGAGGACAACAGAAATAACATTGTTCTGATATATGGCGAAACGGGACCTGAAATTCTAAAATGTGAAGTAGAAATGGCACTTAAAAATTCCAAAACTGGGAAGGCAAATGGACCGGAAGAGGTTCCTACCTAATTGCTAAAGCTCTTGAATGATGAATCAATAGGTATAATATTGCACTTATTTAATACAATATACAATACTGGCATTATACCTCAAGAGTGGCTGTTGTCTACATTCGTTACACTGCCAAAGAAATCTAATGCTAAAGAATGTTCAGAACATCGAACAATATCTTTAATGAGCCACCTACTAAAGATATTTCTAAAAATCATCCACAACCGAGTTTATCAAAAGTTGGAGTCAGATATTAGTAATACACAGATGGAGTTCAGAAAAGGGCTTGGTGCTCGAGAAGCTCTCTTCGGTTTGAATGTTCTCACACAAAGATGCCTAGACGTTAATCAGGAGGTACATACGTGTTTTATCGATTTTGAAAAAGCGTTTGACAGAGTACGCCATGATAAGCTTAGAGAGATTCTTGAAAGGAAGGACATAGAAAATAAAGATCTGCGAATAATTCTCAATCTATATTGGAATCTGAAAGCTAACATCAAAATAGAAACTGAAACATCACAAGTAATAGAAATACGTAGAGCAGTACGACAGGGTTGCATTTTTTCACCTCTGTTATTTAATGTATATAGTGAAAGCATCTGTCAGGAAGCCCTTTTACAAGCAAACGGAGGAATCGTAATTAATGGAGAGATTGTAAATAATATTCGATACGCGGACGACACTGTACTAGTTGCAAGAACAGTAGAAGAATTACAAAGATTACTTACAGACATAAATATTGCTTGCAACAATTATGATATAAATATCAATATTAAAAAAACCAAGTATATGGTCTTCAGTAAAAACATGATACAACCAGCGTATATTAGTATAAACGGCACTCAAGTTGAAAAAGTATCAAGTTGCAAATACTTGGGGACTTTAATAAACGAAACTGGAGACCAAAACAGTGAAATAAAAAGACGTATCGAAATTGCCAGGGCCACCTTCATAAAGATGAGAAAATTCTTCTGCAACAGAAATATAAGCATCCCTCTACGATTAAGAATGCTGAGAGGCTATGTATTTAACACGCTATTATACGGTGTAGAGGCCTGGACTCTCAAACAGAACAACATGAAAAATATTGAAAGTTTCGAGATGTGGTGCTACCGTCGAATGCTGAAGATTAGTTGGGTTAAAAGAATAACAAACTGTGAAGTAATACGAAAAATAGGAAAAGACCCAGAGATTTTGTTAACGCTAAAGCAAAGAAAACTCGAATATTTTGGTCACCTGATGAGAGGACATAAATACGCATTACTTTAAAATATAATGCAGGGAAAAATAGAAGGAAAACGAAATCCAGGCTGTAGAAGAATGTCATGGTTGCGGAATTTGAGAGAGTGGTTTGGCTGCACCACTAATGAACTCTTTAGGTCAGCCGTAAACAAGGTCAGAATAGCCTTGATGATTTCCAATCTCCGATAGGAGTGGCACAAAAAGAAGAAGAAAGATAAAAATACGTTTATTGACGTTTCAATTTCCACTTCGGAAATCGTTCTTAAAATAGAAACAAGAAGTGGAAATTGAAACAAGAGAACGATTTCCGAAGTGGAAATTGAAACGTCAATAAACGTATTTTTATCTTTAATTGTGGCTTATTCCCAGTTAAATAGTAATTGGTGTATTTAAAAAATTGAAAATAGACAGAAATTATGTTTTTAACAGATATTTTCCTTCTTCATATTTAGATAATAGAGTGTCTTTCTTGGCTTTTAACAAATATCTCTGGAGGCTTAATTATTAAAACTAAAATTTGAATATGGTAAAAATAGCTAAAAATTTTTTTCTAAAACTTGAAAGGTATTTTACCTACGATAAAAACGAATTATAAATAAAATTATTAGTAAAAGAAGTTTTTGAAATCTTAGTATCAAAATTGATGTCCAAAACAACGGCATCAGGTACGCCGATTTTATAAGATAACCTTGGATCGTGGAAAATTAGTATTTGTTATATAAAGTTTTACATATAGAAAAGTAATCAAGTTTTCAAAGAAACTTTTTAAAGAAAATTTAGAAATTAAAATAGTTTAATATACAGGGTGGAAACCACTTACGGAATAAAACTGTTTTTGTCCTTATTTTAGAAAATAATGAAAAACGTTGAGATACCTTAACTTTTAAATTTAAATGTGCGCTTTTTAAACATAAATTTAAATGTACCGGGTGATCCAGGCAAGTCTTGCATAGTCCATAATGTGTATTTTAAATGAAACACCCTGTATATCTTTATGTTTTCAAAAGCTCCTTAACAACCTGATCTCAACGAACTATATTATATATTGTGTATTATGAATAATACAAGGTGAAATTTTAAAATTATATTTTAATTTTCTTCAAGACAATTAATTCATAGAATACCCTAGGTAATTGATGGGATTACATTAAAATAAATGCTCAAAATGTTCTCCTTCTTGTTGTTGGCAATAACACAGTCTAATATAAGACTTGTCTTAAACTTTGTTTAAAATTTGGGGTAAAATATTCAATATTTATGTAGTTATCCTTTCTTTGACGTCTTTAATGCTAGTTGGGTTTGCTTCATATACTTTGTTCTTGAGATAACAAAAAAGAAATTCCCACAGAAAAAATCCTGCGTAAGGATTTTTTAAAGGATTTGTAATTCGAATTTTGTAATCCAAAAAAGGCGTGAGATGTGGCGACCTAGCTGGCTACTCAATAGTACCTTGTCTGTTTAAACTTTTAAAACTTTTATACTTTTTATTCAACTTACTCTTTTAAATAAAACCACAGACATGTAATATTGGCATAATTATTGTAATTTACAACATTTACTTTGTTTATCGTTATTAGACAACACCCTAATATGGGTTTTTTATCATTTTAGCATTTGTTTAACTTTGTATCGAGACCTGAGGATGCTTTGTATATTGTAGAAAACGAAACCGATCTTCTGATAGTTAAATTAAATTGATTGTGAGTAAGTCTTATTTATTATTTCTTTACCTATTTGAAATGTACTCACACAAGCAACACATTCATGATTTCAATAGTACCCCTTCGTGCACTTAATTTATTAAAAAAGATTTTATTTAAGTAATTTCTCACCATTAAAGTATAATAGGTGTTGCATCGTCCTGCAGAAACCAGACAGTTTCATGCGGTAGGGTCGGATCTATTGGTTTGGGATATAAGTTAGCCAACTGAAGAAGGACACCGTCTCTTAGCAGGCTTAAATATTTTTCCGCTTTTAAATTATCATCTACAAATATAGGACCAATAATATAATCTCCTATAATACCTGCCCAAACATTCAACTTTTGAGGATACTGAGTGTGTGTCTCATGCATCCAATCAGGATTTTTCGCTGACCACTATCTACAGTTTTGTAATTTTACCTTTCCATTCAATGTAATTGTTGATTCATTAGAAAAAAGAATTGTGCCAAGAGGTATTTCATTTGTGTTAATTATATCCATTATTCTTTCGCAGAAATCCATTCTACGATCTGGATCGTCTTCTGTTAGCTCTTGGACAAAAGTCGATTTATATAGATAAAGTTTTTCTTCATGGAGACACTTTAGGACAGTTGTATGACTCACATTATTTTGACGTGCAATTTGACGTAAACTTGACGTTGGCTTCTCTGCGACACTTAACAAAATAACTTTAATCTCATCTTCAATGAAGTTCGGTTTTATTTTTAATGGTTTGACATGTTCAAGTTCTCTGAATTGTACATATATTTTAGACACATTACCTTGTGAAATATTAGACAACTAAGGATATCTCTGATTAAATAAGTTTGCTACTTCAACTTGACTCCTACAATTCTCCCCGTGACCGATCATCATTAAAATCTCAATTCGGTGGGTCACAGTTAAATATTTCATTTTTAAAATCATGAATGTGTTATTTGTGTGAGTCCATTTTAAATAGGTAAAAGAAATAATAAATAAGACTTACTCACAATCAGTTTAATTTAACTATCTAGACGACCGGTTTCGTTTTCTACAGTTTGCAAAGCATTTTCAGGTCTGTCGATACAAAGTTAATTAAATGCTAAAATAATAAAATTCATATTAGGGTATTGTTTTATAAGATAAACAAAAGATAAATAATATAAATTACAGTAATTGTGCCAATAATACACGTCTGTGGTTTTTTTTAAATAAATAAACTGTTTAAGCAGACAAAGTAAGACCCACGAAATGGTATAAAAATAGTCTATTGAATTGTTATAAACAATTCAATAATATGTAAATAAACAAAGCATTTCTTACATGCCGGTACACTATTAATTAATGGTTGGGAGAACATAGTTCAAACTATCTTGTAATTGCTGAATGGGGATCTTCAGTTTTTACTATTGTAATTCTTTGACAATCAACGAGGAAGTTTCTTGAGGAGATAGATTTTATCCAATGAAAAATTAAAATTTTTAAGCAAAATTGTCGAGGTGAGGAACGGTCATTTACTGGAGTATTATTGTCGGAATAAAAGTGTATTCCTAACATCGTCCAATGGCTTCCAATAGACTTGGATTTGCGGTATTTCTATACAAGAAGTTTTTATTTTATAATTTAAGTTGGGTCTTTTCATGGTTGTTCTGTTTTTATTTATTAGATATACATACCTATACATAATAATGTTTTATCATTTTAGCTTTAGCAAACAATATTAAGAAATTTCAAATTTTAGGGTCATGATACTACCGCAACAGCCATAAGCTTTGCTTTGTATTGTTTGGCAATGAACCCCAGAGTACAGGTAATTATTTATTTACAGTATTTGAAAGAGAATATTCATAGGGCTCAGCCTAATTTTTAAAATCTTGTTTAGTGAAATGTTCTACAACAATCCTACATCAGTACGTTATCCCTATCTATCCCTATTGAACATGAAACAATGAAAAAAATCAGAATTTTGATGTTTGTTGAAGGTAAACTAAATTCACGAACATATACTTACAATGTCGGGATAGTATTATGAGGTTTTTTTCCTGGTTTTTCCCTCATAATTTACTATGGAATCACTAACAGGAGAATTTTACTGTCATCATGTCATGTGTTTGTCTTTTTAAAGACGAATTACATGCTATGATTTTTTTTTCTGACGGATATTCTCAAGTTAAAGTTGATTTCATGTAATCGAATGAACTATCTTATAAGTAAAGTCGTCCCAGGAGCGCAACTCAACAATATTGGCAATATCATTTTAAAGTCGTCTACTTTAAAATGCATAATGTATGTCTGAATTGTCAATATAAATGAGTCAGATAAAATTAAATTATTAGAAGAATTTTTCACTATGTAACAAAAAACAAAATTTGTTTAATTTACTGTTTGTATTTTGAGAACGATTTCCGAAGTGGAAATTGAAACGTTAATAACCGTATTTTTACCTAAAAAAAAAAAATATAAACAATGGTGTTCGTTAGACATTTTTGATTAAGTTAAAGTTAAAAGTTACCTACATAAAATATTTCTTAAGAAATCTTTTATTTTGTACAAAAACAATATTGTTTTATTTAGGAACGAGCATTTATTGAACAGCAGGAAATGTTTGGCACAAATTTAAAAACGGCTAAACCCACTATAAATCAGCTTCAAGAAATGAAATATTTGGAAATGGTAATAAAAGAGTCTTTACGATTGTATCCTTCTGTACCGTTTTTAGGCAGAGCAATATCTGATGACGAGGAATTTATATGGGGTATGATATTTAAAAATAATATTCCATAAAAAATTAAACATAAACATAATTGCCTGTAAAAACATTTAAATACTTTTAATGGTCAAACTATATTGCATTTATATCAATATAGGTCAATATAATTTTTGATAGTTTGAATTTATTAGGTGTCCTTAGCTACGTTAATTCTAAATGTGAACTTTTTTTGAGCATACCACGACAAGATTTTTCAAAAAATTAAAAAATCTTGAGAGAGAGATATTTTGTGGTAGAAAAAAAGGAGTAGGGGTGAGAGAGAAATATGTGGATAAATTAAAAAAAAATTATACCGCAAAATGAGATTCATTGTAAAGTATCGGCTTCTTAAATATAAGACTCACATATTTGTGAGTGTTTGTGTACATTTAAATTTGGCAGTAATTAAATTATTTAGGGCACGTGCATTTAATTACAAGTAGATGTTATTAGCCTCCCTTAGGGGCACATATGGACAATATTATTTTTTTATAAGTAAAATTTTTTATATTTATTCAATATAATACAATGAATTATCCCATATTATACCCATGAAAATTAACAGAAAATCTTAAAAAGGAGCTGGCTTTTGCTGTCCCAATTTTTTTTATTCGGAATCTGGCAATTTTCTCATAATATCGTTTGCAGAAATATGACTCTTGTCCTTCTGATTTGGAATTACAAAATCTTGACAATACTTGAAAAATTCTGACTTCTAGAAACTAGTTTCTTGTTGATCTGACCAACAAAGAATTTGAGTGTTTTGTTTTTGTAGCAAATTTAATGAGAACAAAACCCCCTTCTGGATATTCGTAAGATCAAATTTAAAATCTTTACCATCTTCAGTCTCAACTTCCATAAGACTATCATCTGATTTTTCTCCTCATCAAAAACTTTGCAAATATGGGATTTGGATTTTTTCTTTTCTATATTCATATAATGTCATAAATTGTTATAGCTTTTCCCGAATGTGTAGATATCCATAAGTTAAATGCTGCACGACAATGACGTTTAAAAGCAATACCCTATTTTCCCTGCAGTACAATATAGCATCTAACATTGCCTGTGTATTATGGTTATCTAAAAGTGTTAACGCAAGGTTTTCCTTAAAAGCATGCATGTTCTGCATTTTGCAATCCCCAGTTGTATTAAGGCATAAAGTAGATGAATAGATGTTACCAAGGAAGACGGAATATTAGAAGGTAGATAGCTAATTACTGCCGAACCGTAAAGAAGAACTCGCTCATGAAAATCCACAAAAAGAAAACTATAAAACACAGTTAAGAGAACGATTTTATTCAAAAAAATTACCGATTGTCTAACGTAGAGTATACTGCATTGTATTTTTATAAACAACTCAATTTTAGAGTGTAATTTTCTATTAAATAGAGTTTTTATAATATTATCTTAGTATTTTTGGTAGTTTCTATAAAAAATTTCAAACAACTTATTAAAAAAAAAGTACAGATTTGTGATTAGCACATGCTATGGGACACCTATTAAAGTTGAAACACTTTTTCATAAAAAAATGTGTGTCTTTTTATTCAGTAACAATTTATGGTTTTTATTTTGTCATCTAATTTACAATTTTGTTTAAATTTACACAAATTACAGATTTTGTTACTAACATAAAATTAACTAATGTTTAACTTAATTAATTTTTAGAAGGTAATGTCTTTAGAAAAGGTATAGAGGTTTTAATTTGTATTTATCATATGCACCGAAACCCGAAATATTTCCATGACCCAGACACATTTATTCCTGAACGATTTGAAGAAGTTAATAAATACAATAGTTTTATATTTCTGCCATTCAGTGCTGGATTTCGAAACTGTATAGGTAAAGTAGAATTTTATTTAAAGAAAAGTTACGGATTATCTATTGTATTTACTATGATTATCTTTTATGGTAATAACTACGATACATTTTTAGATTTCTCTATTTTTATTTAACCCGGAGTAGGATTTCCAAACTACACTTTTCTATAAATGTTGGATCATAACAATATCAATCCTCTTTATGTTAATCCTGCATAAGCGCTTAGTCAGGTCTTCTTGTCTCCTTTCGTGCTCCCAGGAAGTTGAAAATTAGCATTTATTCTTATTGGAGGACTAAAATGTCTCGACTATAAACATGCGTGAACAATGTTAGCCTATGTCTTCTCATTTTGGCATAAAATGAGGCCGGCCTTAAAATTCCTTTAAATTTCATCGAAATGGCCGTGGTCTATTTTGACCCAAGATTACAATTTTTAGCGGTTACTTTATAGATCTTAATTTATCTATCTGTAGTTTATATATGGTATTAATAAAAAATTATGCCTACAAGAACATTTAATGGTTAGATTAAATTTAAACTTCAAGGGTATTTATAGGCAAGGGTCTCCTAATACCCCGGCCAGCCTTTTATGTCATATGAAATGAATTCTAATAAAGTTGTAATAATGTGGGAATCCCATAGATTTTACAAATTAGTACCGACTATGAGTACTATCGTTTTATGTAAGGGTTTTACATGTTAAAATGGGGAATTCCCCGAGCTGCGATAAAATTTAACAAAATTGTATAAATATATTGAGTTCCAGTGTCAGTTGGTTTCTTGTCGTATTTGTGAATAGCACATAAAATTCTGAACATGAGTTACGTTTTATTTATATCTAGCCGAAAGCAACTAAGTGAAGATGAACTTTTCCGTTTACTTAGAAGTGGTGATCTAGAGCTTGATATCAATGAGGACACAGCAAGTGATTTAGAAGATGAAGACAATGTAACAAAGGCGGAAGAAGAAAATTACTTTATTATTGATCAAAGTATTGGACAAAATGAACCAACAGTTACTGACTTCGAAGACTTACCGGTATATGCATCTAAAGATGAAACTGGGTGGTCAAGGTTGCCAAAAAACACAAAAGTGAAACGCACAAAGGCTAATATTCGTAGACATGCTCTAGGACTTACAAATTACAGTTATGATATATCAAGTATCAAAAACGGTATCCTCCTGTTTTTTTCAGATGAAATTCTAACCATAATTGTCATGTAAACAAATCGGTAGGCTCAAGCGTATTACAATAAATGGAATAGTAAAAACCCAAATAAATCTAAAGTGTCTGTTTGCGTTGATCCTGTAGAGATTCAAGCCTATATTGGAGTATTGCTTATACTTGGAGCTTTTCATGGATCGAAAGAGGCGATCAATATGCCTTGGTGTGACGATATTGCTTATTGTAATACCAGCTGCTATGTTTGGAGATAGTTTTAAACAAATAACTTTATTTATACGTTTTGACAATTTTAAACCCAGAGAAGAACGAAAATCGGTAGATAAACTGGCCTTTATCTCGTGCCTTTTAGAGGTAAAGCACCATGCTGACTTTATATGAAGAGCAAACCTGACAAGTACGGATTAAACATATAGTTCCTTGTAGACTGCACTACTTCTTTTATTGTTAACATGAAAATTTATTTGGGTAAGTTTTTGAATTGCCAATAAGAAAACAAGCAAATTTTTAAATCTAATAATTTTAAGGAAAAGAAGGTCTTAAGGCGTAAAAAGCTCAAGGCCAAAGAATTGTCCTAGAATTAATAGACTATTTGGAACAAGGGTTTGGAATAACAACTGAAAATTTTTTACGTGTTTCCAACTTAAGAATAAGTTATGGGAGAAGAATGTGCAACTCTTCGAAAAAATGAGGCGTCTATTCCAAGGGAGCTTCTACCAGCATCATATGAAACGGATTATTCAAGTATGTTTGCTATGAGATAATTCCGAACGTTAGTCTCTTATTTTCCAAAACTAAGAACTGCAGTCATCTTACTTTCAAGTGAGCATGTTGACAACAAAGTGGCTGGTGAAGAACCCTCCTGTATGCCTGAAATTATTCTACATTACAACAAAACGAAAGGGGCCGTCGGTACAACTGATAAGTTAACTAAATAATATGCGTTACAAAGAAAAACAAACCGTTGGGCGATGGCTATATTCTCTCACCTTGTTAATGTCGCAGAAATTAATTCCTATAAATTGTGCCTATTATAATATCCTGATTGTAAAAAGCACAATATGAGTGAGTAAACGTAAAATGTATATTTTGGCACTGGGCAAGGAACTAATAAAGGAATATGTTTTCAGACTTTATAACAATAAGCACATCGAAAAGAATAAAAAGTGTCATATGGCAGATGTATTCCCAGAACTTTTGAATATTACTGAGCTTAGAGTAGAACAAACAAAAAATACAAGGGGGCGGTGTCATATCTGTTGTAGAGGCAAAGACAAAAAAACTAGTAAAATATGTAAAAAATGTAACAATAGTTTGTGTATATTGTACAAATAGTATGTAGTTGTTATTTAGTCTGTTATTTAGTCTATTGTACAAATAGTAGAATGTATTTTGTAGCAATGTGTATGCTTTAGTCTAATTAATCATTAATACTATAAAAGTAATGTGTTATTGGTACAGTTTTTTTTTCGTATAAGCATAGTTCACCCATTTAAGAATGGGGTCCGTTTAGACCCTGGCCCGTCTTTTGTGTAATATTTTGAGGCCCGTCCGATGAAGGTTAATATACGTACTTATTCCTAATTTTTACTATTTTTTTCAGTCCTTTTAATTCCGCCACATGCATTTGTAACTACTCTTTTTTTATTCGTCCAACATTTAGTTTCGTATAGCATAACAGCTGGTCTTGGCAGTTTTGTAGAAGTTTTCCTCCAGTTACATTTAAATATGTTTGTCAAAAATACACCACTCGCTTTCCTTTATATTATTTATCTTACTTCTTTGTCCCTGGCGCTTTATTATTGTTTAGTCTATTTATTACATATACTTTCGTCTTTTGTAATGCTTCGCCTTTCTGTTCCTCGCTTTCTTTCTTCTTCTTCTTCTAAAATTATTTAGATCATCTATATCTTTCGTTGTTCCTTATGATGTGAGAGGTATTTGAATTTAGCTGTTTTTATTGTGTTCAGCATAAAAATTGTGCTCTTTTTCTGTTTGTGTTTTTATTAAAACGTCTTGATAGTTTGTGGATATTCTACGTAGTAATATGGCTAAACAATATATCGATTTTCTAATTTGGTATTTGAACTTTTTGGTATTATGTTTTTAATTTTTAGGTCAGAGATTTGCAATGTTGGAAATGAAAAGTATTATTTCAAAGGTTTTGAGGAATTTTGAATTACTTCCAACAGATCCACCACACGAAGTCAAAGTAGTTCCAAACATTGTAATTGCATCCACAAATGGAATTCACTTAAGATTAAGAAATAGATCTGATTAATAAAATTTTAAAAAATGTGTAGGTACCTTTGTTTTTACATTTATTTTATATTTCAAACTCATGCGTAAAGAAATCAAATAAAACCCTAAAAAACACGACTAAATCGGAAAAAGTGGAATTGAATCCTTTTGTCATTTGAAACAAAAAACCTTGAATTGTGGAAATTGCAAAAAGACGAACACAAAAATTTTATTTTTAATAACGCATATGAACAAGTAACCAAACGGAAAACCACAGCTGGTATTGTATCTAGAAGATCGAAAAGTTATTTATATTTTCTTAAAGACAATGACGGATGCAAACAAAGTGTCTGCAAAATATTTTTTATAAGAACACTGGGATATGAAAACAAAAATGACAGAATTGCCATGATTGGAAACGTCGAAAGTGCGAATTGCCATGATGGTTGCCAACCTTCTTAGAGGAGATGGCACGTGAAGAAGGAGAATAAAATATTATATTAATTATAAATATAATGTATTTTATTGTGATATTCTAGGTCATAATGCTTTCGAGAATGGATATGTTTAAGGAGATTAGTTTTACACCTACAATAATTGCTTTTATTGAAAGTTTTGTCGTCACTGCTAGAAAGCCAATAGTACGAACAGCAATTTTATGGCACGAAGAAATAGCCGGGCGGAGTAAGTCGGATATTACCACCAGAATATTCTATAAATTTTTTTTGTCTCACCGAGACGCTAAAAATGTTATATTGTGGCTTGACACTTGCTCTGCTCAAAATAAAAACTGGCCTTTGTTTACTTTTTTTGCGTTTATTGTAAACTCTGAGGATATCGCACTTGAAAAATTAAGTATTAAGTATTTTGAGCCTAGCCATACCTTCATGGCTGCTCACTCATTATACCACCAAGTTATTATGACTTTATGTTATTTTGTTTATCTTAATAAACTATAACTTTGATTAAGATAAGACTTTTTACTTTACCTTATTTTTATGATTTGTTAGGATAAAATGTCGTATCTATCAAAAGTCTAATTTCAAATTGTACTCGAATATCTCAAATAGGGATTTTGTCATTTACGACTTCTATTCTTAACAGGACAGTATATGTCCACCTAATTTTTTATTAAAACAATAAAACAAAAAATTAGTTTTGCAGTAATGTCAGAGTTTCTAAATGAATTAAAAACTTTGCACGAAGTAAACGTTAATCTTTGAAAAACAAAATAATGGAAAATAATGGAAAACCTTACTTCTGAAAAACTTCAAACTGCTCTCCTGAAAAATTGTGATTTCGGACATAGACTAGTTCTGTTCTTAAGTAGCGAAATATAATTCTTGTTACGGTGCCAAAATTTTAAAGGTAAATTGATTTTCCCAAAGTTATTACTTTATTTATTTTTACCTTTCCACACCCAGCAGGATTAGGATAAATCCAGAAAATGAAAATAATCATAATATAGTCGTTATTGTGCGTTATTTTGTTTTGTGGAAATACGATGAATTAGGTTGGTGGTGGTTTTATCCCTATAGAAACCGAACTCATTAGACGCTTCTGTTTTTTTATGCCGTTACACGTGCTAAATGTGGTAAAAATACATACACTGTGGACCATTCCACCCAATGTTAAAACTCCACTAAAAAACAAAATTCTACCTAATTTCAAATGGGTTAAATACAATTGTATACAGTAGTGCTTATTGTATTTATATGATAATATATGGTATTAGGCTTGAATATATCGCACCCTTAGTGCAGTGCAGTGAATATATCTGCAGTAAGTCAGAAGAAGTAAGTTTCGAGATAAAGACGATTTTGTTTATTTTCGTGCTAATATCGGTGAAATTGTAACGAAATATTTTGCCTACCTCAGGGTAAGATTATGGAGTAGAAGATTGGGTAAACAAAATAATCGTAACTTCTGCGAACGGCACTCAGGGTTTGTTAGGAGAGCTGGGGTCGTGGATAAGTAAAAGAAAAGGGGATGGATTGGGTCAATTACAAAAATATGAAACAAAAGGTCATGAATCTCTTGGGACAAACAAAGCAAAAAGAAACAGGTAACACCTCTGGTAATTTAATATAAGGCGCCACTTTAAGGTGCCTAATTATACCTACTACAACCACTACTTGTAACTAGAAATAATTAATAATTATAAACAACATCTTTTTCAAATAAAACTCAAAAGAAGGGCTAGTTCAAAAAAATAAACAAAATGCTAAGAAAACAAAATTTAACATTTATTTTTGTGTCATACCACAAACAGTTACAAAACTACACATAATAATAACAACATACAAAAACAACTTACAATGGTGCTATCGGTTTACAACAAACTCTAGACGTTGGCAACACTATTTGGGAGACATTTTGTAGCGGTTCCAACAACTAGTCGTAATTGTTCTGAAGCTTTTTTCTTGTGGCATTTTAAATTAATTACTATTTAAATGGGAATAAGCCACAATTAAAGATAAAAATACGTTTATTGACGTTTCAATTTCCACTTCGGAAATCGTTCTCAACATACAAACAGTATTAAAAAAAAAGAAAAATCAAAGAAGCGGCTTTAATTATGCTAAATGAGGCCAATTGTGTCGCAAATTCCTCGGCAGAATGTAGTAGGATCTGGTTACCAATATTAAAAGAGTAAGTTATTAATAAGACAATATCAGTATTAGTAAGTCAGTAACATATAGAGGATACATCATTTATGTTTTTTAAATAACGAAACATATAAAATCAGAGTTTGGTGTTTACTGAAGGTAAACTAAATGCACGACCAAATACTTACAATGTCGGGATAGTATTGTGAGGTTTTTTTTCCTGGTTTTTCCCTCATAATTTACTATGAAATCACTAACAGGAGAATTTTACTGTCATCATGTCATGTGTTTGTCTTTTTAAAGATGAATTACATGCTATGATTTTTTTCTGACGGATATTCTCGAGTTAAAGTTCAGTTCATGTAATCGAATGAACTATCTTATAAGTAAAGTCGTCCCAGGAGCGCAACTCAACAATATTGGCAATATCATTTTAAAGTCGTGTACTTTAAAATGCATAATGTATGTCTGAATTGTCAATATAAATAAGTCAGATAAAATTAAATTATTAGAAGAATTTTTCACTATCTAACCACAAACAAAATTTGTTTAATTTACTGTTTGTATTTTGAGAACGATTTCCGAAGTGGAAATTGAAACGTCAATAAACGTATTTTTATCTTTAATTGTGGCTTTTTTAAACTTTTTTTAAAAACAAAAAAAAAAACAAATTCAAAATTTATGGTTATGTATGTACCCAATGTCCGAAGAAAATAATGCTAACTGTCATACGCCAAGATTAAATATTAAAACTTTATAAGAATAATTAATATCACAGTTAGCCAATTCCTAAAATTAATAATGATCAAAATGTTCATTTTTACTTTAAAAATTTTAACAAAAAAGAATACCTGATATCACTTACTATTGTATCTCCTTTAAAAGTTTTGGCGTTGGAACTGGAATCCAAAATACAGCAAAACAAACAAATGAGTCTCACAAGCTGCAAAATGTTCTGGAGTGACCAACAACAACAAATAGATGATGAAAGCTGGGCACTAGATTATCTTGTCGCAATCTTCAAGGCTTAGCTTTTCAAAAACTCAGGCTCTTGCTCAAAAACTCAGGTGAAACACAGCACGAACAAAATCGGCGAGTAACTCAGACAAAAACTGACACATTACATCTGAGTATAAAATTCACCTCTTCATAAAAAATTGTTGGTTCCTTGAAGAATACACACACAAGCTCTTTTCCCGTCAAGAACTTAAACCAACCTCAAACTGTAACTATACATGTTACCAAACTTCACCATTTCTGATAACAAAAAAAAACAATAACCAAAAACCATTACGAATTTGTCGAAAATTCGGACGAAACAAACGAAACCAACTGCCCTTGACAGCGGCTCCACCGATAAATATCAAATTATCCTCAAAAATTGATCGCATATCTTAAAATAACAAAACACTTAAACTATGGTTGAAACGCAAATCCTTTATGAGAAAACGCAATTCAAGCAGTTCGAATAAAACATTAAAAGAAATACCGAAGAAATAACATCTGTAAAATATAAACAAACTATTAAATGGTTTATATTCTCAAGCTGACTTAAAAAGGAATTGAAAACATATTTTGGGTTTTAATACGTACGAAGAGGAAACTGAAATGCATTAAAATACTCTTCGATTTTTTATACATATATGAGGGGATTTTAATATATTAAATATACGAGGGGATTCCAATATACACCAAAAAAATCAATGAATTGCAGAAAAAATTAACATTTAATTATGATTTTGCATGCTTTTAGCCTCAATTACATTAAATAAAAAGAGAAATTTCAATAAAATAACATTAATGCTGCACATGGAATGTTAGAAGTCTATTGGCGGTTGGGAAACTTGACAACGCAATTCAAGAAATGAAAAGAATGAAAATAGACCTACTGGGAATCAGCGAAATGAGATGGCCAGAGTCAGGATCATGTAAAAAGGACGAAAGTGTTATATCTTCTGGGAACATTCACCTTCCACTTTTCTTTTTAAGGATCATTTTTGTTCTTTCAACTTCAGTGCTAAAAGTGGTTTTTGGAATGGTCACTTCCTGTTGAAAATTTATTCAATACTGTTACATCCTGAACAATATCTTTCCAATTTGATATTATTTAAATCAATCTCATTGTTTGTTCCTTGGTTTGGACTCTTCCATGTTCACTTACGTTGCGGTTTTTTCCGAAGTTTCACACCAAATCCAAAGTTTCCCATAGCAGATTCTGCGTCATCTTGTTTGAATCCCAATTTGGCGTTAAAATCTCCAATTATCAATGTGTAATGTGTTTTTGAAGTTTGCATGGCTGCTCTGATATCTTCATAAAATTGATCAACTTCCTCATTCGGGTGGCTCGTAGTTGGTGCGTAAGCCTGTATAATTTTAAGTTTGTATCTTGGGTTTAATTTAAAAATAAGATAAATGACTCTGGTACATATACTTTTTA